CCAGCATTACGTTTTGCAAGATCTTCTATCATAGCTGTTTTACTGTAGAATTCTTCTTCATCTGACTCTTCACTTGACGAACCCTAAATTTACACAAACACTCGACACAAGATAATTTTCAATTTATTTGAAACAGATTAAAAACATTGCATTACGAAAATGAATTATTTCAAAAACAAGCTATCTCCTGTCAAAATTGGTATAATTCTTCAATTTGTATATACATACCTCTTCTTCGTTATCTGCCAAGGCAAACAACGGATGCTGCGAATAGGAGTCAGGCAGGTACTCTTTTGGTAATTCATAATCACGGTTTTCGCAGAGCTGGACAAGTACGTCTTTTACAAAATTTAATGGAAGAAAATGTGCTATACTTGCTGAATCTGACTATTTAGTTGACTGCGTGCAAGAAGCCGCTGTAACTGGAAATCGCTGAAGGTTCTTGAGTCTGAGGGAATCTGAAAACTCTCTTGAAATGGCAAAACAAAGCGCAATAAAAAAAATTTCTGATCAAACCTGTGATGGTTTGAGACGAGAAGCTCGAATCCTCTCCCGCTCCTCCATCAAAAAATCTATAGCCCGTGCAGGTGGCGATTCTGTTGCAGCCCTTTTCTCTCCGATTACAACTACATCTTCGTCATCAGAACTCAGATCCACGACTTCTCTAGAATGTCAAGTCTTTTTGCAAGAAGTTTTCGAGCGGAAGTTGTTTCAACCTACGCAGAGCTGGAAGGCAGAATGTCGAAAAGATCATTTTCGAACCGTTGGCGTTTGGAAGAAGCTGCGGTCAGCTTGTTCTTTACAGCCTCAATTTCTGATTCAGTTTGAGACCCTGAGCAGTCTAATTATCATGAGATATAGGAGAGCTTTTGATTTATCAATCTATCAAGATCTGAGCACTAAATAATCAATAATTAACTGGAAATTGGACAAAAACCTGCACTTTTACTTGTTTATTTGTGCAAGTAAGAGAATAAATTTGGACGAAAGCAAAATATTCGCAGATCATCTATTAGTTATTTGAATTAGAAGCATTGTATAGGTTTACCTCACGTTATGTTCGAAGAATACTTATAAATGGCGAGATTCAGCTTGGGAGAAAATTAACAGAAAACATATTATACTAGATTTAGTCCTTTATTATTGGGATTTACAAGAATTCGTGGCTGTCCATTGATCGTCATACCCGATGCAAGATCCAATAGATGGCGTTTCCTAGCTTGGTTTATAATTATGTCTTCGGTGTGCTTGCGTAGACGACGGTCACTCTGCATGACTTCCAATTTGATATACATCAATATTCAAAAAACAGTTATTTTCAAAGACTTACCAAAACCCTGCTTTTAAATACAGGCACGCCTTCCCCATCAAAGACAAAAACAGGCTTGATTTTGTAATAGAGCAGCTTACATAGTCGCGAAACTAGCAGAGCAAGATGAGGACAGCGAATATCGCCAGGATATCCAAGTTGGGCTTGATAGATCCATATAGAAACATCTTTAAAAGTTGAGTACAGTGGTGAAAATTCTGGAGATGAGGTGCTAGCTTAACTTCTTCAATTTTTAGCTAAGTAGAGCACATGTCAAATGTGAAGGTCACAAGCTGAGAAGTAGAGTATAGATGAAGGCGGCTTTCCATACTGATTATGTCGAGAGAGGATGACAAGATGTTTATCAAAAAGAGGAATGTAACTAATTAAGCAGAGAGAGA